TTTTCTTATAAGATCCTGTGTTTCCCAGCTGTGAGCTGGAATCAGCGGCTAATAAAGATGAAGAGATAGTTCATGTTTCCTGCCTCAGTCATTGCTCTCTAGGAATTGTTGTACTGTAGGACCCAGAAGAAGACCCACTTGCTTTGTGATGCTCATAATGAGTTTCAAGCATTACTGACCTATATTGGATTCAAATCAATAGTCTACAGGTGAAAGCTCTACTATTGCTCTACAATTTATTCAGCATTCCAGGCTCAACGTGAATTTGGAATGGAGCTTTTCAGTAAGAAAAACAAATGAACCAGCTGTTCCTTGGGCAAATGTGTTATACACAGACACTTAAGCTCCTTAAATTAGCTAGTCTCATTGCAATGCTAGATTTTGGGTTGTGTCGTCTTAATTTTTCTTCCTGCAGCAAGTCTGGGGGAAGGGAAGAAGAGATGGAAATCGCTCAGTTTTATAGTTCTGGGTGTTTCTGAGCAATCCTCCTCAAAACTGCTCAAAATCTTAAAGAAATAGAAGGCACATCATGAACAGAAACCAAGAATTTTGCTGCTTTTTCTGAAGAGAACATTATGCAGCTTTAAAGAAATGCCAAAATTGCATTAAAATACATTAAAATCTTTATGGTTTTGGATGAGTGTGGTCATATATGCCTGATTTCAGTAACTTCTGGAAAAGTTTGCCTCAGTGTCTTTAGCTCTCTTAAATTGCTAGTCCTTTCACGTGCAAAATGACAAGTAAGTCCGAACTCTGAACTACTTCGGGGTGGAAGCAGTATCTCAACCAGTCCTTTTTTTGGTATTTTACCTTACCAATCCAGAGGAATATCTCCATCCTAATAATCTCAGTAAAACAAAAGTTTTACGGCCAGCAGGGCAATTAATTTCAAAATGTTCCAATTCTGTATGCTTGATGATCACAGCTGCTTATTTTTCCGCCTGAAACTCTCAAGCTGTCTCCTACCTGGATAACACCCAACAAGAAGCTCTGCTTCACAGCTTCTTCCAGAGTTCCCCAGTCTCCAAGCTCCAACCTTTTTGAAATATTAAAATAATCTATCCGCTGTGGTTCTAGCATTGGCTCTTCTGTTCTGTTTGACTTGAATCAAGCCTGTAAAGTGAACTCTATAGCTGTGTTGCAGCATCAGTACTGAGCGACTTTAGAGCTTACTTGACAGCGTAAGTCTTTAACTGGGAAATTTTCAGAGTAATGAATGGGTCAAAGAGATCCTCAAAGCACTCCTTAGGTCTCGTGCCACAGCACCTTAATTCTGAATGATAGAAAGTTGGGTGGTGGCTTTGTTGGTTGGTTCTGTCATTGGCTTTCCTCAGAGGCAGTTCTTCATGTTGCTACCAGGATGTTTTGTGTCTGAGTTCATTATTGTGTCAACATCTAGAGGAGTATTTAAATACACAAAGAATACTTAAGTATATGAAGTACTGATAAGTTTAATTTGTCCTCTCCTCGATATCGTTGTAAGGCCTTTTTATAACATCTTGGTCTTTCAGGTACCATACAGAATCCTCCACCTAGACCTGCACGTGTGCCAACCATCCTCGCTGCTGCTTTCTTCCTGAAATGTACAATCCAGCAGTGAAAATTCCAAGTACTGACTCCTGCTCTAGGCTTTGGCATCTGAACCTGCTCCGGTTGCCTGATGCCGCGTCCGGCTGCGGCGTCTGGGGCGGGAATGGGAAGCGGGGAAGGGGAAACCTGCCCGTGTGGGGCTGGGGGGGGACTGTCCTCCCATGGCTCTGAGCACCCTGCCCACCAGTGGAGCAGGGGGCTGCCAGGGGAGGGCACAGGGCTGCCTGAGCTGCGAAACCTCTGTTCGCGTTGGTTTTTACTTCTCTGGTGTAAGGGACGCTGCATCCTTCCTATGCTGTAACTGGCTGGTGAAGACCCTTGTTGCCTAGGTAACAGGGAAACCTAAAAAAAAAAAGAAAAAGAAAAAAAGAAATCTTTTTCTTTTTTCTCTGTATTTTCTCATAAAAGCTTGACATTCTTTTAGTGCCCCTTCCCGCTGAATAACTTCTTTGGCCCAAGCTGATGTATCTTGCAGGAAGGATCAGAAACATGGTTTTCAATTATAGCAGCAAAATTACGAAGGGTTTTGTAGTTCGGATGTTTAATTTCCTGCGTGTTTTGCACTGCGTAAGGGACACTGCAGCGAGTGCCTCGGTGAAGAGCTGCCATCTGGCTGGTGAGATAGGCCTTGCTGTGGTGGCTGCGGGTAATTCAACCACTTTCTCTCTTCCTCTCGATAAGTTGTGTCTGCCTGCATCGCTTAAAATAGCTCCACGCTCACCACACCTTTGGTATTAACCAGAATGCGTTCAGCCATTGTGTCACTTTTGAACTCCAACCAACGTGACACCCCTTCGCGCTCTGCCTTTGAGTTTCTTGCTACTTAGGACATCTTGAAGGTCGTAGCAGAGCCTGACCCTCTCCAGAAAGGCAAAATGTCATAAAGCCCCGTGGGAATTAGCTGGCTGAAGGGGAACCGGGCTGTGTGTGCACAGCTCCATGTCTCTTTGGAGGTAAAGACCAACTCCTGATCACCTCCTTGGAGCTCCGGCTTGGCCTCCATCAGGCGGTGTCCCAGTAAGGAGGTGGTGCTGTTGTAAAGTCCCTCTGCTTGCAATAGTCATCTCCTGTGCTTTAATCAATATATCCAGTCTTGAAAGCCACTGAGTGGTAGGTAATAGGACTTGAGAGTCTTAGGGATGTTCTTATCAGTACAAGTGGAAGAAGGGGATTACCAGTGAGGTTTATGGTAACTTGTTGTTAACAATTTGTCGTAAACCGTTTCTCAACCTGGGATGGGACTGTGCAGTTTTTATTGCCAAGAGGTTTCCTTTACTCTCTCTTTTTTCTTTAAAGGACAGACCTCCAAGTTCGTTGCTGTTTTAGAGGATTTTTTTAAAATTGCTTATCTGATTATGATTAAGCAATCCAGTGTTTATAGCATATGCTTTGACCTTGATGTTAGTTCAGCTGGGCAAGGATATAAATGATGAAGAAATTCCTCAGCAAGCTTACCCCTTTGTATTTAAAATTAACTCTTTGATATGCCATTCTAAGATAGGAGCTTTTAAAGAAAGGTACAAGTTTAGCTGCTCTGGCTAAATTTAAAGGCTGTTGAAGTTTGGATTATTCTTTTTTTTTTTTAGCAGCAAAATGCATCTACTTGTTTCTATGAACTGTGATCCAGAATTTAATACTGTGACATTTACTAAGTCGATCAGGCGTGCAAAATGAAATGAACATTGTAAACCAAAACTGAATTATAGGAACTTCAGGCCTTAGTCTGTAAATCACAGACAAACTACCATGAAAGGTATAGATCCAGTACAGTTTTGATAAAAGCCAGTTTGCTCTGAGATTCATAAATGATAAAGGACTGTAAGGAGTGGCATAACTATTTCTTTCTGGATTTCCTTTTTTTGTTTTGTTTTCTCCGTAGATCTCAAGGCGTAGCAGCCTTGGTGCTACCTGTACAAACGAAAGCCTCCAAAAGCAGCTGCACCTAAAACATTGATCTTTTAGCCAAAGATTTCCTCTGTGTGTTTTCATCAACACAAATTTTCCTTTAAAAAAGGGGGGCTTCTGTCTAAAAGAAATACTTCCAGCACAAGATGCTGCTGTCACACTGGGCTGAGTGACACAGTGTATCCCCAAGTTATAATTTTATATTGCAGCAATTTTGCTGATCAAACGGCAAAGTTTAAGACAACTCACTGTCAGCACGAAAAAACCTCCAGCTAAAAAAACCCACCCTTAGTTTCTAACAAGGAGCAGTCGGGTGTTGTGTGCAGAACTGCCGAGTCAAAGAGTTTTTTAAATATTCTGTAGCTCAAGGACTTGGCTCCTCTTCAAACATTTCCAACTACAAAGGGATGGGTAATCTCGCAAGTGAATGTGCCCCCTCTAGGGGCAAAAATGTGGAAATTTGTTATAGCAGGTAAATTCGAAAGGGGAGAAGCGTTTGCTTGGAGTGTGAATATCTGGGGTGTTTAAACCACAGTGAGAAGCGATTTCTGCTGTGATCTAGGATGCAGCTTCCTCAGCATCTCAGTTTCCCAGCTTGCTGCGAGAGGTAATGTGTGCCGTATGCAGCAGGGCTCAGCTTTCCGCCTGCTTTTACTTTAATTCTTAAAAGGTTTTGAGAAATATTCTGCCATTATTCCAGGGTAGTTCTTGAAATATCTTTATAAAGTGTGTCTCATAGTGTGGAAAAAGTCAGCTTGTATTTGTAAGTGTTACAATTCTTGAGCTGTTCTGCGCGTGTAGTACCATTTCGGTAAGAAGGAATGCCGTACGCAAGGCAGCACACGAACACCCAGCTTATCCCGAGGAACCTCTCAGGAGTCTGGGGAAACAAAATCACTCCTGAAACTTCGGGGCTTTGAATATGTGAGTTACAGATGCTGTGGAAATGCGAAATGTGTGCTGGGTGTCGCTGCTCTGGCAGTGACACCGCGCTCCGTACGGAGCCGCAGAGTGATCTGACGTGGGTGGTCGTGTTTGTTCTGGCAGTGATCGCTAAAACGAGTCCTATATGAAACCCTTTCAGCAGTTTTTGAATGCCTGAGAAGTTACAAAATCTTTCTTTCACAGTGGTCTTTTGCCTTTGGTCTTTGCCGTTTTGCCTTTTCAGAGCTTGGGTTCAGGGTCATGTCATTCATCCCAGTAGCGTTTTCTGGGTGCGCGTGTGCCCTGAACCTCAGGCTGTGCTGCCGGTGAAATATTCCTCTTTTAAATGACACATGGGGAGAGCATCCTCCTCACTCATGTCTTCCTTCCGGCTGCTTTTGAAGTTTATCCTGGTTTATCGGGAGGAAGGGGTGCATTTTGCTTTTAGGGGGTGCTTTTAAGTCAACCCCAAGTTTCCATATGAAAAAAGGTGAAGCAATTTTTAATGAAAACTTCAGATTTTTTTTTTTAAATGTGAAATGCATTCATATTCATTTTTTTCCCCCTCTTATCTCCTAAAGGTGCTCTCACAGAGTGTTACGATGAACTGGGCAACCGGTACCAGCTTCCCGTCTACTGCCTCGCCCCACCTATCAACATGATAGAGGAGAAGGGCGACCTGGAGACTCTGGATATTCCTGATCCCCCACCCAATTCAGGGCACGAATGCCAGCTTCGTTTGCGCCTCTCCACAGGCAAAGACCTCAAACTCATGGTCCGCAGCATGGACACGGTGTACCACATGAAGAGGCGGCTGCACGCGGTGGAGGGAGTGGAGCCGGGCAGCCAGCGCTGGTTCTTCTCGGGCAGGCCGTTGGCAGACAAAATGAAACTGGAGGAGCTGAAAATCCCAAAGGACTACGTGGTGCAAGTCATCGTGAGCCAGCCCTTAGCAAATCCCACCCCAGTGGAAAACTGATTTCTGCTTGTTTATTGATTCTTCTTTCCTCCGTCTCTGTCATGGGGTTTGTTTTCACTGCCCTCTCTTCTTTCGGTCTGTCCTGCTAATGGATTGGTTCCAAGAAATGACCAGCAAAAATTCCATCTGTGATGGAGATCTGCAAAAACAAAACATAAAAATGTAAACTGGCCTTTGGGATTTGCCTGATCTCATATTTAACACAACAGCAAGCAGCACAGGGCAAGGGCAAAGGAAGGACCGGGAAGGGGAAGGGAAAAGGGAGGAGGTATAAGGAAGGAGGGAAGAGACGGTAGTTTACTTAATACACAAAATGTAATGATTCTTAAAACTGTAGGTGGTGTCGTGATCCATGGAGTCAGAGCAACAGAGAGCACTTTTATTTAAGAAAAAAAAAAAAACAGAATCAATTTATAAAATTTCATATCAGCACCACACACAGTTGATACAAGAATCGCAGCTGCTCTGGGGGGTCCCGCGCTGGGTGTTCACGGGGATCCTTTCTGGTTTGACCGAACTCCCGTGCTTTGCCCACGCACCGCCGAGGCACCGCCAGCCCCGGGCAGCAGAGCTGGGCTGGCGGCTCGGTCTCCGTCCTGGCGTGCGGCTCCTGGCAACGCTCAGACCAAGCAATTGTACATTCCAAGATGGCAACGCAGTCCTGTGCCATTGCTGGCTCCCGAGCTGGGAACACAGCCCGCCGGAGCCTTAGGCAATAACTTAGTCAATGTATACTCTCACGTACTGTACTGTAAACTTACTTGCTACGAGACTGACCTAGCCTGAAGTTTACTGGTTCACCGGCACCTGCGTAGGTGCCTGCCGAATTACTGTATATCACTCAGATCATTAAAACAAGTTTTTATCAGGCTAGCTAAGGTGAGCGATGCGCTGGTCTGCGCTTAAGCGTTAGGGGCATCACCTTTGTCAAATGGCACCGGTGTTAAAGATCTGGGTTAAATTGCAGTTATGCCCAGATGCATTGCAACTTCCCCTGCTCGGTTCCTAGAGGGCGCAAAGCATGGAAAATGGTAAGGAGGACGTGACAGCACGTGGTTTTCAGCTTTTCGGGTGAGCGTCATTTGAAGCAGCAGCCAGTCTTCTAGCTCTGGTGACTCTCCAGCCAGGACAACTGGAGGCATCCTCACCGACACGCGTCCACGGCCCAGAGCCTCACGGTGGTGTTTCACAGCCAGTGCTTTTCCTTCAGAATGTAAGAGGAGCCCTTTTGGCAAACGACAAATCCTTTTGTAGTCTCAAAAACCTGAATCAGAGCATATTTGGCCGGGGGGGCGGGGGGGATGGAATTGCTTAATTCCTCAGTTAGTGATGCTCTGTGTTCCTGCACCCCTGTCTGGTAATGCCTGGTTGAGATCTAACGCCCTGTTCTTTTTAAACATGATTTCTAGTTTGCTTGGGTTTTTTTCAGCCATCATTGAAATTACTTCACTTCTTCCAAAGTCAAATGTGCTATTCAGGTATGAATAGCATATTTTTATTAGTTTCTGTCTTCCTTCTCTGAATCAATGGTCTAAAGCTACAGTTGTCGCAGCTCTTTCTCGTCTGCTAGTGAAGCTGGTGGGTTACGGTGACCATTTGAAACTTGTTACTTTTGCTCCTTCGTTAATTCCATCGAACTCAGTTTCTTGGACTCGAAGGGAGTTCGTGCTCCGTGAGCATCAGCATAGAGCCAGAACGAGCAGAGGTCGCTTGTACAACATCGCGAGTCTGTCCCAGCAGGTGGAAGCAGGCGCAGAATTTACATTGATGGTTGGAAAACAGATGCACATTTTATAAGCATTTCCCACCCTACCCCAAATAAATCTAGCTTTCTTTGTAGTCCCTGTGTTGTACTAAGCCTGTGGTTTTCTGACAGCTCCTTTAGCCCCGATTTGGTACAGGATGACTGAAGTGCAGTGGCAGAGCTGTGTAAAAGAAAATTACTTCCCTGTTCTCATAAACACCAAAGTGACTTGGTTTTCTTTTTTCTTTTTAAAGATTTAAATCAAAGCTGATAAATACTAATCTATAACAAGTTTTCTATTGTGGAGTTTTTTTAAGACAAATATCATTTACTACACTGGGGTTTTGCAGCCAGATCTTTTGCATTTCAGAGGGGGGAAAAAATATTTGCTATATAAACAACTAAAAAAAATCTCTTGGATTTTCACTGGGCAAAGGATGGTTTCATGCCAGGAAGACACTACTTGTCTCGTAAGGCGTAACTTACATCTCTGTGTAAATGGTCTTTATGATGTCATTTCCCTGCAGTCCCTTCTGGAAGAGGGGAAATCGTGATAGATTGAGGAAGAGCAGGGCAGGGTGACAGTTCCATAACTGTGAACATTAAAACACTACTTTTTTTTTTTTTTTGTAGGATATGTTATGTTGATTTTTTTTTTCTTTTTCTGTTTTCATTCAGTTAATTGTCACCATGTACTGTTTTCGAGACTACAGCGTGTAGGGGCTGGGAGAGCTCCTTTCCCTCTCCCCCCTCTTAGTTGGAAAAGGTTCAGTTTTATTATGCCATAATAGATGACTGTTTTATATTAATTGCTTTTATGTCGGGGAGCAAGGTGATGATCTGAAGCCCATGCTGTGAGTGGGCTTTCAGTAGAACAGAGAATTGCTTCGTGAAAATACTCTTTATCTCTAACAGCCTCCACCCTCCCCCCCCC